ACTCTCTGAAATTGGTGTCAATCAATAAGCATTTTTATGACCTCCAAGTTCTCATGAAAAATCGCCAACCTGAGCGAGCTCTTTTATTTCCTTCAAGAAGTCTTGATTGGTTTCAGTGAACGTGTTGAACTCCTTGGCTGTCTTTCCGAATTGCCCCTTGTATCGTAGCAGAATTTCGAGACCTGGAAAAAACCAAATCGCCACCAGAATGGGTTTTTTGACCGAGCGAAAAAGTGGAATATCTCGCCCTTCATGCATGAAACAGCGGCGACGCTATTCAATTTGACGTTCACGCTCTCTCTCTCCAGACCGCGACTGGTGAGCGCAGGAGATCCCAGACGAATGCCTCCGGGCCGAAGAGCGGAAACGTCACCGGGAGGCACAAGTGTTCTTGTTACATGTGATATTTGCCAGATCCAGTACTCGCTCTGCCTTGGCACCCTCAATTCCTTTTGGTCTCAGATCAACCAAGCACAGGTGGTTGTCAGTTCCACCTAAAAATAACGGAGCAATTGAATGTGATGCCTAACTCATTTTTAACATCAAAAAATTGTGAAAATAACTAGGATCGGAGGTGATACCACGTTGTTACTTTTGCACATAACGACCCATAAATAGCACTCCTCTAGGTAGGCAATTAGTTCCGCCAGAAAAAAAACAGGTATATGTCAGTTCTCAGGGAGAGAGCCTGTATTTTCGAAAGGGTGGGGATTGGCTAGTGCAAAAATTTTGCAACTATTTTGGGTTTCATTGTGAGTTTTTTTTTTTGCTTCATCGTATCACCATCAGACGATTATTTTTGGGAAAAATCCTTATGTAAAAAACATATGTACTTTGATGCAGGAAAAAGAGTGTTGGGGAGGGGGGGGCAGGGTCTCTAACGCCTACCGTTGGGACTTTGAAATTACCCACTCCCTCCTTCATGAGAGATTTCATCACGACCTCCTCTTCGAATAAAGAAGTTAACCCTGGGGGGGAAGAGGTATCGACCTCAATCCCGTCGACGTAGCGACAGTCGCTGCCCTATCTTCCTATTGTACTTGTGTTATGTAAACCTGCGTGACTGAAACTAGAACCAATACACAAATTAATTTTCATCAAGTTTAACCGCAGAGAGCCGAAACTCGTTTGGAACGTGAGACCCTAAGGACAGCTCTTTCCTAACGCAATTCGACTTTTTAACATTCATTCACGACGCAGTATAAGAAAGATCTCGTGACATCATCTATACCACATGGTGGCTATTTAGATCAGTAACATGGACTCACCTGTAGCTAGAGAGTAGCCTAACGAAACGAGTTTTTCAGCCAAAGCATGAGAGTTTGCCAATATCTGTTTTCCATAGTTCACAAATTCCTCGGTAAGGCATTGTTTGAGCGCAACAGCGATTCCTAAATGTTAAATTGATCGACGAATTTGGTCAAGTGAGGAATTTGTCCACACCAAGGATATCGATATGTACCATTCAACACCATGATTGCTGAAAAGCAACGCTTACCCCCTTCTTCTTATCAGTGTGTCTTGACTGTCACTGTCACCTATGTCTTGACGCATGTTATCGGACGGTTCTCGAAATCGAAGAATTTCGCAACAAACTTCTCTTTTTGCATCATTCTGAGCGGAAATTCCATCCAGGATTTTCCCGTGCAGATTCAGTTATTGTTAATTTCGCGGCTAAAACGCAAGAAAAAGGGAAACTTGAAGCTGAAGGGACATATCCCATCTCGTTATTCTTACATATCTCTTTGAGTTCTCTCTAGCGATAGCAGTTCAGTGGAATTAATGCTAACTAAATTTAAAAAAAAATTAAAGAAGCTAATTGTTTGCTATTAGACACGGGTATGGTCGTCATAAAAAGAAAGCTTATTGATTAGAAAAGCTGTCGATGCTGAAATTGGTCTTACAATCAGCGCGCAAAAACTTACACATGGTCCCCGTTGTGGTTTCCTGCGGTTATGGAAACAAACTTGGGACTTGTCATAAGACTCAGCTCCGCCCAATTGGCGGACTAATTAGTATATCTCCATTTCTTAGCGCTAATCCTTGGGCCAATGTCAGACTTTGCGAATCGAGCGATTCGCTAGCGTCCGCGGTCACGTCGCGCACAGCGAATCATGTTAGTAGCAATCGCTCGATTGGCAAAGCATGACATCGCCTTATAAATTGCTCATCCTGGAATCTCCAGTCAACGAGGGACTCTTCTGCTCATTTAATATTACTTCGAATAATACTTCTTCGAATGAGACGTGACTGTCCTTGGATTTTTAATAGCAAAGAGCTGGTAACACTAGCTTCTTTAGCCTTTTGCCATTCTCAATAGTTACAAACCGGTTTCCTTCTCCTACTGCTGTCAGCCTCCCTTTGTCGTATGCGAAGCGCTTCCTACAGACTTCCAGGCGCCACCACACCGTAGGTGGTTATCCTACACATGAGCAGGGCGCTATAATAATCATAACAACTGATCAGAAGTCGCATCCTATCCTTTCCCAATGGACACGCGTCCGCAATCCTATCCTTTCCTTCCCCACTTCAGAGTTGGACTGCCTACTTCTTCAACCTCTGCTGCTGAAGCACTATTCCTTGATGGCACGCGTAATATGATCCTTAGAGAGATTCCTGGCTTGAGTGAGAGAGCAGGACCCCTATTCACAACGCTGGTGGGACTTCGTGGCTTGTAAGTGCACGACAATAAAGCTAATGGCCTCGCTTGACTTCAGCAATCACTGCTACTCCTATCAATCGCAGCACACGTAGTGTCTGCGCCCTCTCAGGTCCAACGTGCTCTCTCGCGTTTCCCTCTCCTTCGCGGCGCTGTTTTTTTTTCGTCGTAGCACGGCCAACCATACAAGAAAAACTAAAATTTTTCTATAGTGCTTTTAGCTTCTTTCGTGACTAACTTCCTTTCGTTCCTGTCTAATTTTCATACAAAATAACACACCAATCAGATTGTGATCTGTGTCTCTAATTATGGTTGATGAACACTGCACTAGAGCTCATTTTGAGCACTCATTTTAGAACTAATACTAAACTCTAATATAACATGTTTTCCGGAATTGCTGCCAGCCGACGTCTATAAAATTTTAAACAGCGAAAATATGGCTACACTATCCACCTGCAATGGTGTGGTTGTGGGGTCCTCCCTGAAGACCAGGGAACACGGCTGCAGCGATCTTGTCGCCGAGGTCATACATAATCTTCTCTCCTTTCGCATTCGTTGATCGAACACCTGAAGAGATGGCTTTTAAAGGATACAGCAAGCGGCATTCGGGCACGGTAACCTTTGCGGAAGAAGATCAGTGCTCCACGAGGTCCACGGAGAGATTTGTGGGTGGTGGTTGTGACAATGTCGGCATACTCAAATGGTGATGGAATCACGCCAGCCGCTACCAATCCAGAAATGTGCGCCATGTCCGCCATCAGATATGCTCCGCACTACAAAACCAACCATCTTTTGGCAAAATGTGGACAGAATAGGCAGGCTGGCATGTTGCCATAAGTTTCCGTAACCCGGAAAGATTTACCTTGTCGGCGATTTTTCGGAATCGAGCATAGTCCAAGTGGCGAGCATAGCAAGAGACTCCTCAAATATTGTGCTATCAGAGAAATGTTTCCAAGAACTCCCTGACAGTATTACCTGCGACTAAAATCTTGGGCCTGAACAGCATTGCATTCTCCTCCATACGATCATAATCGATTAGGCCTGACTTCGGATCCACCTTTAATGGAGCACTTTTTAATTGAAAAAACCAAGCAAGAATTTGGAAAGGGTTGACACCAGTGCTGACGAAAGAGCTTCCTTTCATATTCTATAACATGACCTAGTTCGATTTTTGCAAATTTTTTTGTTCAAAAAATTGCCGTTTTCCCAAAAGTGGACCGATTTTGTGATCAACGTATATACACAATTCACATAATTTCGTCCACGGCAGAATATGCGCCACAAACCACGCCCACTCACAAGCACCGCCTTCGTAGCAGAAAGCGGGTCGCTCCCCGTTAACACGTTGACGACACGCCATTGTGTGCAAACTCACTTTTACCCACCTTTTTACGCAAAACGGATCCACTCTGAGTGAAAATGCTCGACGTATGTGTCCCGCGCTGTCGTCAATGTGTTAAACCAACTGCAGCGAGGAAGATTCTAAGGAAGAAAGAGTTTATGTCGAAGACCAACTACAGCCTCACTTCTCAGAAGAAAAATCCATCTTAGAACTAGATAATCTATCACTCTGCTGTTCTCAACCGACCCGACACTATCAACCCTGCGTCCAGGTTCGACCGAATGGCTGAACCCCGATTGTGTCCGCTACCTGCGCAAGGAAGAGCTGTGCTTCGAGCGAGGTAGTCAATCCAATGGAAACGAAACGAAGCTCTCTCATGGCCAATGCAACTGCGTTGTGACCGCTCAGGTCTCGTGACGACTTTCTCCCCACACATATTATTATTGCGGCTCACAATGGTAACTACTATACCTTGTAGGGCATCGACTGGAAAAAGATCGATGTCGCTGATACCTTTCTGGCAGGAGTAAAGAATCTAAAAACAGGAACTTTCTTCTACAAACGATAATCCCATGAGAAGGATGGCCACCATTCGGAGGTCAAAGTCCATAACTGCCGCGCCATTGGCTCAACGATAGCTGTGTAGACAGCGAAATTGGCTGGAGATCCAGAAAGCGGCTGCACATTCACACCCCACAGTTCGGGATCAAGGCCATATACCTTAACGAAGAAACTTGGGATTGACCCTAAATAAATCAAGAGCTTCATTATGAGTACCTCAAGTGCTCTCTTCTGACATAACAGTTCCATCTGGTCAATGAATTCATTACCGCCATAGTATCTGAAATTTGATTAGATGACCATTCTATTACGGTGTGCCAAGTATTGTAAGTTTCGAAATCCGAAGAACGGACAGACCTGGCCCCTGGATAACCCTCGGAGTACTTGTTGCACATGCAAGAACCCACGGTGTCCATTACAGCCTTGGTGGTGAAATTCTCGGAGGCAATCAGCTCGAGGCCATGTCGCTGACGTTTTTTCTCCTGGAATCAGGCATAAACTTTAAGTGGACAAAAATTAGGTCAAAATTGTAGAAAACATTACACGATGAAGGATAGGAGTACCTTCTTCATAATCTCAAAGGCTTCCGAATCCACAACCGAGACCGGATCCTTGGTAATATTCTTCCCAACGTAAGGAATCCTTTTCACAGGTTGCAGCGGAGTGTGGACTTTACCGGACATTGCTGCCTATAATAGTTGTAGTTAGAGGGATTTATGTTGGCAAGCCCCACTGGCCAACAATAATTTAGCATGGGAGAGCCCCTACTCAAAGAAAAAGCTGGCAGGAGCTTGTCTCTGCTCATTCCTTGGCAGCTTTGACCTGAAAGCAACCCATGCTTCATTCCCGTAATCGGCCAACATTTTCGAGGAGCTGTGATACACTTGCCAGAACCACTAAACTTATTGTCTTCGCTGCTGGGAGATAGGTCTTCCATAAAGGACTGGAAGACGTTCAGTTCGGGTCACCAAAACTGCGGGATAATTGAAGCCTAAGGTTAGGCTTGCTTAGGCTTATGATTACACACCAACAAATTCTCAAGAGTAGAGTTAGGCTTAGGCAAAGGCTTAGAACTGCCGCGAGCTAATCATAGGTATCTTACCCTGACGAGGACTGATTTACACCGAAAACCCTAGGCTCTGCTCGGTTATCTTTGCGCAAGAGATCATATCATAGAAAGTTTTGCGAGAAACTACTCGCGAGAAACAGAAACAGCACTTCTTCCAAACGACAACAGCCATAAATGCACTGAAGATTCCAAGCAATCGGAAAGGGTTTGGCCATATAACAACTCGCAAAAAGGATGACGGATGGTGTTAATGTTCCAGTTTACATTCGTTACACTGTTCGTTGATGTGAGCAAAACTGTGGAGCAAAAACGCGGGGACATTCAGCCCAAATGAGAGCGCTTGTCTAAAATTCACGTAACCCTGTGCAGAAACCACTTTTTCTGACAAATAACGATGTTATCGTTGACAAAAGGAAAATCATCACATGAAGTCAAAGGACGACCATCAAAAGACCCAAACTGTTCCCTGGAACTTTAAGTTTTCACTCAAGCACTGGTTCGGGAGTGGGAATCGTGAACGCTGTTAGTTGTGATGGCTCGGAGTCGGTACTGGTAACCCAGCAATGGAACGAATCACTCACGAGGCCGTTTGTCACCGATGCAGCCATGGTTAGAAACTTCGTCTGAAAGACAATCAATATAGCTCACGAAACGCATCTTAACGATGCCGAAGATTGTACGTGAATCAATGAACCAATCAAATTCACGTCATCAAGGAAATGTCCAGCAAATTTTGTCAACAGCTCAACCAAGCGCTTTCACGATTATGAGAGCTGCAATAACTCAAACGCCGTTGAGCGAAGCCATCCACATGTAAAACACCACTCATGATTTTTGGAAAATGGTCGGTCTGCAACGGAAGAGAGCCATCACGAACCGTCCTCCAGTCATAACTTCTTCGAGTGAGGGTAAAATGAAGAGAACTTCACACCAATGGACCTGTCTCTCTGTGGCGAGACTAACAGTGTGTAAAAGTACGAGTTTGGTTGAACAGGTAACCAGTTAGATGCAAATTCTTACTTTTGCACAATGATGGACTCGCCAGACGAGTCAATGACGTGAAGCCCTCTCGAGAGTTGTGACGCGGCAGCGGCTCGCGACGGTCCTTTTCCGTCGAAACCCTTGATTTACAGAAACTGGAAGCGATACTGCAGAAAGAGTAAAGAGCGAGGAGGTCGATATATTGGATGGAGCCCGTAGTGAGGGCGCACTGAGAAATTTAGAGGGTATGAATGCGTAGGACAGACCTCTACAATGAGCAGACCTCAAGAAATTCGAATTAGAGGTACAATAGGTCAATTACAATTTCAATTTACGATTTTTTTCGAGAAACTACAATTCCTATCTTAATCTTTACTTGATATTGGATCTATGTGAGTTTGAGGCAAATTTTTGCTTATGGACTGCGTTTGATCAAAAAAAGTTTTCAATTTCTTGACCACTACCGTGTCTAATGAACGACAAATTCTCTGATTACTTTATGCTTCCTATTTCGAATTTCCACCAAAATTATCAGAAAACCCGACAAAAATGACCCCCTCTCCCGCCAACACTACACCTTCATCTTCCAGAATACGATTCCCTTTTCCCAAGCCTCTGGCCTTCACCAATCCCTGACACGATCCCCTCAAAAAACTCACATGTGATCCCCTCTTTGAGGACTGTGCAACGCACGGTTGACTCGGTGTGGGGGTGCACCTGTTCATGACCTAATGGCCACCTCGAATCCAGGTGCTTTGTATTGTACTGCATCTTCTTGCTTAGTGTGCGCATCCATTGCACCGTGAATATCAAAACATCCTAAATTCCCTCATCTTATACACCACCTCGAGTGGGAAGAGCGAGGGCACAGGGGGGGGGCTCTCACGTTGTAACGACGCTCTCCAAAGGTTCACTCTACTTGAATGGCCTTAACGTAATCCGAATGTGCAGGGGGACACTTCGGCGCCGCTGGACAATGCTATCACCACCTTCGGACCTTGGATATTCTTTATCCCACTCACACCTGATAGGAATCTCACACACGTCCCTCAGATTGTGCATCTTCTTTAACGCACATAATAAAGATCTTGTTCTGGTGGGCCAATATTTCAGGTATACGGCGTCTAACACGTTGACGACAACGCGAGTTTTGGCTTTTTTGGCCACGTGGGACCGCGGCGATTTTGCGGGCGCGCCGCCTCAGGTCGTTCAAGCAGATTTTGAGTGATAAATACATAAATAATCAATACAAAACCAGATCAGTAAATTGTAATGAGCACAACCTACCAGGGGTACAGTAGTGGAATTTCGATCGAAAGACATGGAATAACAATGAAAAAGCGAAATTTTCAGAACTAGCTGCAATGGACCTCAAAAGCAATTTTACGTTGATTATTTCAATCAAAACACACATTGTCATCCCTAAGGTTCCTATCTACTTCTACTACTATTTAAATCTTCACATTCATAAAAAGAAAAAGTAAACGAAAAATTTATTGAAATGAAGATTTCGTATGGTTCAGAAATCCTCCTCTAAATTAAAGCATACGTGACCATTCTATGGGCCACTATGTTTGTAGCTACGTCAAGGTCTCTTCCATGGAATGAATACAAGAAACTTCTAAAAGAATCAGGCGTGCGCGAAAAAAATGAGTGTAATGGGTGCGGGGGATATATATCCCGCACGGTCCGACATGGCCTGCAATGCGCGGGATATACAGGGGGGGGGGCAATAAAAAAAGACATTTTGTCTCCAGACTCAAATGGATTTAATCACACTTTGCTCAGCTCAAACGTGTGCTCCCAACTTAGAATTGAAGAGCGCATTTCATTTCATAAGAAAATCTTCATAGTGGCCATCTACGTGGACGGCATCAGAAAATTTGCCCCGGAAACATGGTGCTCTGGTCGAGCTCAATGGGGTTCTCGACTGATCGTGTACCGTTACGACGGGTTCCGAAGGGCGGGTTCCGAGGGGTTTGCATAGTTAGAGCTAATGTCCCTAGGAAACTATCCCACGTTGAATCGATCCAAGAAATTATGTAAGAGCTTCAGGCTGAAGCAGTTACTGTAGGCCTCCTGAGCTCGACGACGGTGACAGATGACGTCATATTCTGAAGACGGTGAGGGTAGTGAAGGAGGGCCTGCGTGTACTTATAGAGGGACATTTAGGGAATATTTTGCTGAGGAACTTCCGTCAACGACGGCAATCTCTGCGAAGAAAAAAGGCCGAAGTGCGACTGGGCAAAATGTCTTTTTTTGCCCCCCTGTATATCCCCCTCGTTGTCGTCAATGTGTTAAAAAGAAAGCTCTGCGCTCTAATCAGTGCACCAACCATTTATTTATACGGTTGTCTTGATTATTGGGAAACGCAGAAAGTCAAGGAAAACAGCTAGACGAAACATGCATAAAACTCGGTAAATGTATGCTGAGAAAACAAAGGTCGAAATAGCACAAAAAACAAGAACCAAGAAGGCGAAGAGGAGATGAGAAGATCCGTAGAAACACGACTTCGTTCATGTGTTAGCATCTTTAGTCTTGAGCTAGCTCAATTTGAATTATTTGGACATTCAGCCAAGTTTCGTGTTCCTGAATCAACCATTCTGGCCTATTAGCGCCATGTATTTTCTCTGCTTGGCTTTCAACCTTATTCAGTCAGAATTAATCGCGTCACATTTGAAAAACTTGACGGTCATCGATCCAGAGAGGTGACCTTTAGCGATGGGTGGAGCCACTTGCGCAGGATAAGCTGCGCAAGAGGCTCGTTTCTCAACTTCCGTGGAGTAGCCACGGCCTAAAACTGCAAAGATATCCGCTAATTTACGAATGAAACTAATCTAACTTGTTCATCCTTGAAAATACTTTTAACGTA